TTAGTGCAAAACATATCAGAAAAATGGGAAGGAGCAAGATCAACACCAGAAGGGAATGGGTTGATGTGAGAAGAAAAAACGGAGTGGCCAAGTGCCATTTACATACATCATCCTGTGTCCTCCCAATCAAGTACCCCCAGGGGTTCTCCAATCTTTATACAGAGCTGAGCTTGGCCATTGGGACCTCTCCATATTTGCACCTTACAGATGAATACTGAAACCGTATTGTTAATCTTAAAATTGAAAGTTCTTGTTGAGATACCTTAGTACAATCACAACATTCAACTCATTGCTGGTTACAGAATAAGCTGTGTCTGATTTAAGTAGTAAACTCTGATTTAATGTTCTATTTTTTTTTCTCTGTCTGAAATCTACTCTCAAATTGGATAAGTGTGCCTGTTTGTTATGTATATGCCGATTCTTACACCTTTTGTCCTCTTTAACAGTGTGCATCTTGTCCCCTTTATCTTCCTATGACACTCAAATCAGGCTGAAAATGGGCTGTACAAGTGTTCAAAAAAATTCTCCAAACCCAACTTGGCTTTACAATTGGGGAAAGGTGGGTAAGGTCAAGACTTGAAAAGGTGTGTCCAAACTCAACCCAAACTTTCCTGGGGGTAGGCTAAACAAATTCAATGGGAGGATGGGTACATATTTCTTTTTCTTTAGTTTCTAATCAATGGGTTTAATCTTTTTACCAGCTTTTGTTTAAAGCCTATGTGTATTTTTCTTGTAAGTCTAATATATCTCACCGAAAAATATTGTGTTTCCTAAAGAACCTTGGTCCAAGGTTGCTTTTTTTGTTTCATTTTATGGGGTTATAAATATGTAAACCCTAATTTCAATGATTTTGATCCATTTATTTGACTTGAATGCCTGCCAGATGTAGCATCTGTTGGGATGAGGCAGGTAGAGCAACTTAGTGAGCCAGTTGGCCTCCAATTCTGAAATTAAATTTGATTAGAAAAATTCCTAGCTCCAAGCCATGCAGGAGTCAATTTTGTCTATGGGGCTGATTGGAGCCTGTAGTTTCCGTGGATGACAAGAACCCCCCCCCATGTAAAATAAAAATAAATAAGAAAGGGCATTGATAAACGTACCCGGGTATTCCGCGTATACACCCGGTTTTTTGCTGCGCAGCGGACCCGGATTTCCGCGTACACACCCGCTTTTTTTTAATATGCATAAAATATGCAAAATCACCCTGG